TCTTGATAACTTCCTATTTTAAGTTTTGGGTTGAAAGCAATGAGTATGTCGGACTTTCTCAAGTCCACATAATGAAACAATATCCCTTTATATTAGTCCAATCGGAATTTGCATAAACATACCAGTTTTATATTGCAAAAAGAACTGTAATTAATAGCCTACATAAAAGCATCATGATAAATAAAACATTAAAGCATATATAAAGCCTATTGTTATCGCACCCATCGCACCCCCCCCCCCCCCCTCCTGGCTACGCCTATGGATATTTTGGCAACTTTCACGTTTACCCCGCCCCCTAATAATTCTTGCGCCCCCTCTAAATATCAGACCCGTCAGGCGTTGAGGCATGGATCAGGATACCCTGACTCCCAAGCTGTGCGACTTCTGGTAACCGCTACACCTATATTCCCGGGGAAAACGCTTTTAGAAAAATTGTCAAATATGGTCGTGTGTGGGCGGAGGAGGAGGAGAGGGGTGCGTGCATTGTGTGCGACCCTTCATCAGTTGTGTACCTTATTTTTTGTATGAATTTCTTCCGAATAGTTATGCTAGAGGGGTTCTGATATTTATTTCTGTTTTCAAATGAAATAATTTCACCCTTGCCCGACTGACTTGTAGATAATGCACGAATCAAATAGCATGGAGATCAGATAATCAGATTGATTCGTATTTTCGCAATCAGATGAATTAACTTATTGTTTTCTTTGATCAAAAGGCGGTTTGAAGCTACTTTTACAGGATTTGTAAATTCGCAATCAGACTAGCTTATTTTAATATTTAGTCAGTGCAAGAGGAGGGGACTATAATGTAGAAAATTGTTTTGATTTCGACACTAACTGAATAATTTATCACAATTGTTAAATAAACAAACAGAAACAAGTTTAAAAATGAGAATAGAGGCAAAAAAGTCTATACATAAAATGTAATTAAAACCCGGGAATTAAAAGCAATTTTAGACTGTTAGATGATCTCTTCTGTAATCAAGGTAGTGATGTTGGTACACTTCCGCCGTTAGAAAAACAAAGACTAAGACAAAGACTATAGCAATTAATCCTTTTGTAATCATTAAATGTTAGATTCTTATTATTTTGTTGGACAATGTTCAGACTTCTGACTAAGATTAAATCATTTATGTTTGTATTTAAAAATAGTATTTCAATCAGACAGACGTTCTAATGAGTTAGAAAAATACATTTGTCCATTTCCTCTCAAGAAGTTTTCAAAGGTAATCAAGTCGATTTGTTTGAGTGTTTAGCATTGTTTTTCATAACTTGACGCTTCCATGAACAGAATGACTTTGAAATGAGTTTTTATAATTTTAGCTTTTATACGGACATGCTTATTGTATATTTCTATATGAACGTTGTTATGTGATGTAACATCGCCCCCCCCCCCCCCCACCCCAATTACAGGTATACAAATTTAGGTCGGAATGCATTAACTTGCAATTAAAAGCAATTTTAGACTGTTAGATGATCTCTTATGTAATCTAGGTGATGTTGGTACACTTCCGCATTTAAGAAAACAAAGACTAAAACAAAGAGAACTAAGCAATTAATCCTTTTGTTATCATTAAATGTTAGATTCTCATTTTTTCGTGGAAACTCCCATATTCATTCACATAATGTCTTACAGCTATTTCGCAAATGACATAATCCTAAACAACATAATATTGCAGAACTGAGCGAAAAGAAAGGTGGAACAAATCAGATTAAGATATTTTATTTTTGAAATGCACAAAGGGCAACAGTTGAAGAACAAAAGTTAAAGGCGTTGTGAAATAGATCGTGCTTTTATATGATCCCCTTCTATAGTACCCTACCCTTTGCATTTGTTCGACTTCATTTCTCTAATGAGAGTTTCGTCTTCTCGTAGTTTATAATTAGACTCTGCACGCAGCGTAATAGTGCCCCTATTATCCATGTTCATGTTCTCATTTGATTTTTCATCAGTTATGACTTGGTAACATTTGCTCCGATTTTCATTACGGCGCCCGACCGATTGAGTATTTTGTTCAGAATTGAATACAATTTTGAACAAAATGCTCATCGGCCGGGCGCCGGTGCTGAAAATCTGAGCAAATGTGACCACGGCATTATAAAAGCATACTCTTTAATACACGAACAGATTCAAAATGGGACTTTATCTATCAGAGAAATAAAAATGGAAAATTTGTATTCTGAAAATATTAACTGATGCATTGGAGTATTAAATATTAAGTTTTACAGTATGTACGCCAAATAAATACTTTTATAGTTTTATGTGCATTCAAAGGACCCCGTTTGTAAAATTAATAGAAATGAATAGTTTTATTATCGGGAAAAACTGAGAAATATCTACCAGATTCGCCAGAATAGTCATCATCATATCAGTGCGAAATATTAGCAATATTTATTTTCTATGCGATATACACCTGATATTGATAGCCTTCCACGATCATGGTCCGTTGACATCATCAACCTTGTGATTTGCCATAAGTGATTAACCAACATTTTTTAATTAAAAGTCGGGGTTGACGTTTCTTGACTTTTCACACTGTCATCAAAACAAAACATAATTTGAAAATAAAAGGCATAAAATAACCATTAAAAGTACATTTTTGAACAAAAGTATCAACTTATATTACACTGCACGCAAATACAAAGTGAAAAGAACGTGTTCCCGGAGATTGAAATACGGATCGGTAAGTCAACAAATCTAACTGTTAAATAAACAAGCTTAACCTATGTCTGCGATTGTTTGTCTGAGTGGCCAGATGTTATCCGTTTCGGATAATAAATTTCTGAGAATACTACTGATATCTAAAATACATCTTCCGTGATATTTTTCATAAAACAGGCATCTTAGCTGCAATTTTGAATAATAGCGTAATTCCTAGCACAATATAAATTAACCCGCCTCTGTTTAATTCAAATATGCATTACCCTTAAGATTTATATACTTAGACACCTTTTCATTCTTGATTCGGATTTTTATCTTGTCTTCATCTAAATCTGTGGATTAATAACAGTTTTTAGTATACAAATTGAACATACAAAATGTAGCGTATTGATTACACGTTACAGTGGCGTAGCCAGCTTTCAGTGGGGGGGGGGGGGAAGGGGTGCGATCGTGGCATTAAAAATGTTTTTGAAGATTTGTTTTGAATTTTACAAAAATTGGTGCAACTTCGTTCAAAATCGAGCTAGAAGCTTCAAAAAAAGCATTTTAAGACTTTTCTCTTCTATCTAATGGTTCTATTTTCATTGGTTATGGAGGGGGGGGGTGCGATCGCATCCCATCGCATCCCCCTGGCTACGCCTATGCGCTATATTAATATAACAAGGTTATCAATATCATGCCAATAGTTACCCTGCGTGCAGAGTCTACATGTAGTTAAACTACAAGACGAAGACGAAGCTCTATTTTAAGAAGCGAAGTCAAACGAATGCAGAAGGTAGCCAATAGTTAGATGGTTAACTAATATTAACACAAAATAATAATACACGATAATCAAAAAAATAAACCTCGGTATTCGGGCCTAAAATCCAAGGATACGTGTACCATTACTTAAGTGTAAGCTGCAATACCATATCGGATACCTGTACCATTACTCAATAATAACCACTAGTAAGACCATAATACCAAGTTTAATAACCATCTTATTGCAATTTATTCCATACGATTTTGTCTTGTGGTGGGTAGTTTTTGTTTGTTTGTTTACTTGTTTGTTTGTTTTGTTTTTTACATCGATTTAAACAGTTATTTACTTATCATAACATAATCATGTTATTTTTGTTTTCATATTCTTGAAACAGATAAAGACAAGGTTCAAATTACTCTAGTTGCATTTAAGATGTCTTCATACATTACATATGTGTATAAGTCAAGAATATAGAATGGCCCATTGAAAATGTTATGATCAGCAAATACCTTTACATAAAGGTATGAGAAATACACAATAGCAAAAAGTCAAGTAATGCTTGTCAGTAGTGTTGGATAAATTTCAATCTTACAAATCAAATAAAATACAATACAAATACATTATGTTCATATTCTATAGAAAATTCAAAGGAGAATGGCAATGTTGAAAACACTGACTTGGAAAGAAGAAAGGACACCTTTCAACATACATAATCTCATACCCAGGCTGGTAAACTAAACGAACATGTTGAAGACAGGTAGCCAATACCTGTTGAAAGCAGCCAGTCATCTATTAAATACATTTCTTTTCAGCTCACACCATATAACAGAAAAAATTAGTAAATATTTTTTTGGTTTCTATAGCAACCAAATTTTCCCACATCAGTCAAAGTTGTTCCCAGCGCTGTAAAATTCATTTAAACAAACTCCTAGGTTAATTTAAGAGTTGTAATGTTTGTTGGATAAATTGATGAAAATAATACCTATAAGATATCAATAAATCATTAGTTGAATAAAAACATCATAATTTAAAAAGACAATTATTGTAAGTTTTCTCACGATCATGTTTCCAAGGTTTACTACGTCAACAAGATATATGATAACATAGTCAGATACAACACGTATGCTAAAATAGACTGTGTGGAAATAAATAAAGAATACTACAGAAAGGCCAATTATTTCTATTATCCTGTATGCATCTATACTGCAAAACATGTTTTTTTAATTCTTGCTAATAACTTTCAAAATTGTAAATTTTGCTGAGTAATGATTTCTACCATATTCACCCTAAACTTGTTGTACAACAACATGTTATTAAAAGACACATGTCTCCATTTAAGCATCAAACACTTTTGGCTAAAACCTTGTGTAATACTTGCTCAATCAAATCTAAGAAACTGGACATAAAGTGAAGAAAGTACAGAAGATAAAGTAAACAACAAAGATGACAGCCTTTAGATAACAACAACAACAACAATTGTGATATAGGCATTCATTATAAAATAGAATCATAACAAAAAAATAATAAAATAAACCAAAATAAGGAACATGTGGTACTTGATTGTTAAACACAAGATTGATGGGTATACCTAACCTACCTGTACAATGGGCAGCAACTACCTCTAGCTTATAGCGGGAATCTGGCGTGTTCTCTGTCAATTTAGGCGAGATATTGATAATGCTTCCTTTCCTGTTGTATAGCTTCAGTATGTCATTGGGACCTGCTTCAGCCGCAGCTCGGAAAATATCTGGAAACAAAACAATTTTATATCTATTAATCTTCATTAACATAAGGATTATCGAATAGTACATTGTTATATTGAGAAATGAGGGGCACATCTACAAAAAAGTAGAAAATACCTACATTTTTATGTAACAATGAATAGCTATATGTTCGCTATATGTGTGCTGAACCCTGAGATCATAATCATGAAGAATATCATTATTATCCTCGTAAGCTTGGGATAAACTTGGTGGTGTCTGAATAAGTGACATCAATCCCTTGTCTATACCCCCTCTCTCTTTTTACCATTGGTAGAAGCAAGTGAGAAGGCACAGAGTGAGGTGTGCAAAAATATTTTAGTCTTGTGATTTTTTCAGACTTGCCATGGTTTATCATGATGGCATATATATTGGATTTAGTATTGGAAAAGCTGAATGAAGAATATGTGTTCTTAATGATAGTTTAACAAATTAACAATGACAGAAACCAGATAATACAGATATTACATTAATAGATTTTCTAACATTTGAGTGTAACGAATCAGTTTGAAAATTACTTTAAGTATTATGGAAGACGAATTGTTTACTGCGTAGCATTTTTATTAGGGTGATCGTAGGTGGTAAGTGAGTAGGGTATTCACGCTTGGAGTATTTCATATGGACATGTGAATTATGTATGTAATGTAAGGTCATTCTCGGTTTACACGCAAGCGAGGTATGACAAAGTTACACAGGCAAATGTTTTTAGAAATTTCATATTCGTTAAATTTTCAAAATACCAAACATGGCATTGTTAAGAACAGGTGAATCGTTTATTGAAGTCCTCGTATGTAACTCTGCTTCAAATCGGATCACGGGGCCGACTTTAAAGTGTGCGCCCGACCCGGCTACGTATAGCACAGAGTTTATACTGGCGGATTAGACTAGTTCATTTTTTATATGTGTGTGAAAGCTTTCTCTTATTTGCGTTTTTTTCGTTTAGTACGGTTCTGTTATAATTGCCGAGGTCATATAACCGGGATAAAACAATGATTATCGTTGACTGCCCACACACAAAACATACGTTGAGTGAACTACTAGTGTTATTACAAACAACAGACTTTAGAATTCAAAGCGTAGTGTGATAATAAGCTGTACACTACCACTGCTGCATGTACATATTACTAATTTACTAGGGCTCCCAAAGAGTGGATAGGGAGGTTGTGTTTGTCACTTTTAAATTTTACATTTCAATTGTCATTTTACATGTCATAATTTGTTGGTTTCATTCGTTTAGCCAATCAAAACATTGTAAAACAATAAATCGTCTGTTACGTACAATCAATTTTGTTCAGTTTTGATTAGTTGTCAGAATAAAGTTTCGTTCATCTGAATCCATGTATCAAAACAAAAAACCTATTTTCACTTCAAAATACTTCAGTGAGATGAAGGCTCGGAATTGCCACATGCAATAACTTATTGTCGTATTCGTTATTTTATCTTCTCGATAGTAGCATTTAGTCGCACATTTGATGCCAGGTCACCTTGTCGCGTACCTCTTGGGGAACCCCACATTTATGTGTGTACTCATGGAAGTAAATTCCCCGGTGTAGCCGAGAGCCACAAACTTTTCAACAGGTTCGAAATGACCAATTTCTCTCATATATACTCTAAATATTTTATTGTTTAGCACCTACAAAGTATTGCTAATAACCATATGTAATTTCAATAAGGAAACTTATCTGGCTACATGTAAATTCAATATCAACACTAGCTGTTCTCTCAACACGTCCTAGCTTACCTTGTGGTGACAAACCCTGGATTTTCGCTATTTATAGTTTATCAACACCTGGACGCATGCGCATTTTATAGTTTATCGGGCACTTTAAGTTGAGTACCTCCTCCCTCCTTAAAAAAGGGGGTTAAGGTTGGGTCACCGGAAGTTGAGAGATTTTCAATTTAACTTCGTTTATTTCATGTAATAACACTTGTTTTATTTATATTAATTGTTACGAGCTTACCGTAAGTTCAGGAATGACTAGAAAAACAGCAACTCCACGGAGTAGCAAATCCCACCGAACAAAACATATTATGCTTATTATAGCTAGTGCAAATGTTGAAATGTTTGTGCACTTTGTGATAGAAGCATGAAATTTGGCACAAAGTTAGTTTATACCATTGTGAACTAGGCATCATCATATGAAATTTGAACCAAATCCGTTCACTGGTATATGAGTTATCAAAGATTACGTTTTTTACGAAAATTGGCCGCCATCTTAAAATTCAGCCGCCATCTTGAAAATTATTTGTTGCACAGAGCTACTGTGTCCCTAGGCATAATCATATAAAATTTCAACCAAATCTGTTCACTGGTATTTGAGTTATCAAAGATTACGTTTTTTACGAAAAATTGCCGCCATTTTAAAATTATGTGGCCATCTTGAAAAAATTTTGTCGAACATAGCCACTGTGTCCCTAAGCATCATCATATAAAATTTGAACCAAATCCATTCACTGGTATTTGAGTTATCAAAGATTACATATTTTTACGAAAAATGGCCGCCATTTTGAAATTAAGTGGCCATCTTGAAAATCTCTTTTTGTGCAAAACTCCTTTGTCCCTAGGCATCAGCATATAAAATTTGAACCAAATCCGTCAACTTGTATTGGAGTTATCAACTATTACATTTTTTACGAAAAATGGTGGCCATTTTGAATTGAGCGGCCATATTGAAAATTCCTTCTCGAGCAGAGGTCCTACACTCATAAGGCATAATCCTATAAAATTTGAACCAAATCCGTCAACCGGAACTGATTCGGTTGAAAAAGTACACTAACGCTGTCGGTCAGTTAGGCTACTACGCCTTTACTTATTACTCAGAACAGAATTTTATGATTTACTAATAGCCTTCATAGTGCCAAGCGAATATTACAGAATTTGATATTGACACGATGCTGTCGGTCAGCAAAAATGTTGCTCAGAGTAACATTCAGATGTTGAGATTTGTGGAATGGAACGAGATGTATAGTTGCTTGATGTAAATGGACTGATGAATAAATATCATACTCGCCCACAAGGCCATTACTATTTGAAAGTTAATTTAGTAGTTGTGTTCTATGTTCGTGGTAAACGTGGAGTTTAGTTTACTTAATAAGCATTCATAATATGAGAACATATTTCAATCATCAATATTCTAAATGAATGCTTTTAGTATAATTAATTAAATATATATTTTGTCATGATGTGTATCCATCATTCCATGCAAAAAGAGTCCCACTGTTATACAAGAGTAAGTCGAAATTAATTAATAAAAAAAAAATACTGATTGTGTTATATAAAGCTAAAGAGTAAATCCATCAACAGCGTATATATAATGGAAATGATAACAATTTTATTTATCTATCCCTTAAATGCAAAAAAGTCATTCATTTTTTACTTTTCAAACAACCTTTTTTATTAAACTCCAAAAACATTGTCAATGATTAAAAACAACATATTTCTTATCATTGAATAATATATTGGTTTTTTTAGACAAAAATTATCAAAATAATTAAGGATGCCCTCTAGATATTTCTATTTCAATAGCTCAGTGGTAGAGCGCTCGCCTAGAAAACAAGGGGTCATGGGTTCGGTCCCTATTTGGGTAGACAGACTCTTTCATATAAGCCTTTAGCAAAAGATTTCATTCTGTGTTTTCATAACAATTTTCTTTTGACAAAACATTTTAAAATAATAAAGGATGCCCTTTAGACAAAGTTGAAAATATTGACATTGACGCTTAATTTTTACTTTTAAAATATGAATTTTTTTATATACCATTTCTGTTTTTGTGAGGTAGAAGACATTTAATACTCCAAGGTATGTTTTGGGTTGAAATTTGAATTTTATATGGGATCTAATAGAATAGAGAAGTCCTCAATCCACTTTTGTCAAAAATGATACATCAGCAGATTAACTTGGTTTTTAAAGTTCTAATATTCACCCTATGCAGACAGAGCCTGTGGGAAATATTGGGTGCGGAGCAAATGAGCGGAGGGTGCGGAGCTAACGGTTATTTTTGAATTTAAATTTGGGATATTTCTGAAACTAAGCCGTTTTGGGACTTCAAATATACCAAGATATGTGTATTTGACACCAAAATCAATACAATTGTGAAAATAGTAGCGCAATTCATTCTTTAGCGACGCAGTGTGCCTTAAACCTTTCCCAGACCTATATATTTTGAAATTATCCTTTTAATACTGAGTCCCCAGCATTCATAAAAAATGGTGTTCAAGGTGCACTATCTATACAAATTATTTTTGCATCTTGGAAGCCAGGCAGTATCTGTGTGATTTTATAAAAATTCGGAAATGTTCTTCAGATATGAGCCCCTCTAAATATTGGGTGCGGAGCAGCTCCATAAACGTAGCTCCGCACCCAATATTAAGAGGGGCTCATATCTGAAGAACATTTCCGAATTTTTATAAAATCACACAGATACTGCCTGGCTTCCAAGATGCAAAAATAATTTGCATGGGTAGTGTATCTTAAACACCATTTTTTATGAATGCTGGGGACGCAGTATTAAAAGGATAGTCTCAAAATATATAGGTCTGGGAAATGTTTAAGGCATACTGCGTCGCTATAAAATGAATTGCACTACTATTTTCACAATTTTATTGATATTTGGTGTCAAATACACATATCTTGGTAGATTTGAAGTCCCAAAACGGCTTAGTTTCAGAAATATCCCAATTTTAAATTCAAAAATGACCGTTAGCTCCGCACCCTCCGCTCATTTGCGCCGCACCCAATATTTCCCACAGGCTCTGTCTGCATAGGGTGATATTACTGTAATTATTGTCTGCTATGATCTCGGTCAACTATATCTGAGAAAACATTCCAAACCTCAAGGGAACATCCTTATGTGAGATTAATTGCATAAAATAGTTATCATATGCCTATTCACAATTTCAACCAACTGTAGAACCTGTGTAAGTGGAACACCCTTGGGACCACAAAAAAGTGTTCCAATTGCGAGGTGTTCCACAATGGGCAATGGGC